ACTTGTTTGAATGTCCTGCTGACATGGCTTCCAGCCATTGGAGAGGTCTTTTGACTCATTAAATATAGTAAAATCTCAAATACAGAATCTTAAAGATGAGAGAGAGAGGGGCAGCATTCAGAAAGGGTGAAAAATAGAAGGAAATAAAAAATCTGGTTCAGAAAAGCTTGTTTTCTTTATTCATAGACAGTTTTTAAGACAATGTAGCATGTTTTCTATCATCAGTCTTTAAGGTGACTGAGAAGAACTGTGTTGAACAGAGTTTCTTTCTTTCTCTCACACAGTAATAATTTCTGTACATGCTTTGGAGAAAGCATTTGAGAAACATGGCCTGGATCCTTTCTTTAGCATTTTATTATCTTCGGGTAGTTTGCAAGTTAGGTACCTCCTAATTTGGGTTGCACTGTGACTGCAGGTGTAAAAAGTCAGATTAACAAGTTTTTTTTGGACATCACTAAAGCAACTTGTTTTATTTCATCAAGTGACATCTTTCACATGATGTTATACTATTAAAATTACTTTATATAATGTTAAAGATACGTAATTAAAAATATGAATGGGAAAAGAACTTTTTTTATATGGGACTGCTGTTAATTTTAAATGAATGGCCAGTAACTCTCTATTTTGCACTCTTGCCAGATTCTCCTTCCCCCACTGCTGCAAGAACGCTGACGCTGGTCGCCAAGTCTGTGCAGAATTTAGCAAATCTGGTTGAATTTGGAGCTAAGGTGAGTATAATTTTACGCAAAGAGGACAATGCGGAACTATGTTTCCAGTACATTTTTTACATGTACTTGTGTAATGCATGCAAAAATCTGTTGCTATTTTCTCACGCTGAACCTCTGACTTCTTCTCCTACCCCACTCTGACCTCAGATTTATCACTCCTTAGATTGGTGTTTTCTGTGGAAGAGCACCTCAAACTCTATTTGTATTTACTGTCATACTGCTAGACATAATTAATGCTGTAAGTCAAGTGTACATATTGCACTAAAAAGCCCAAGCTTTCAATAAAGTTTCAATTATAAGACTAAGAGAATGCCAGCAGTAACTGGTCTGTCTCAGTTCCCAGGCTGAAACATTGCTAAAAATAAATTTGTTGATGTAAGCATAATTAACATGACTTCAGGCTGGCATTATAGTTATTTCTCTGACACACAGAACTTGGAATGTAAGAGTTAATGAAAAAAAACAAGAAGGGGGACACTTATTCCTGATCATGCCTCTGAAAGTAGAGCATCTGTTCATTGCAGCCAGGTATTGAGAGACACTCATCTTAATGCAAATTCATATCGGTATCCATGTGTAAGAAAAATTCTGAATTGGAGATTCTCAATCTTCGGGATACAAGAAAATACTGAATTCTGTATTCTTTTGTCTGGTTGCACACCAGACATTAGAAATTCACTTGAAAAAAGATAACATTAATCCAGTTTACATACTTGTTTTGCAGTGTCATTTGCCTGACTGCGCTATGTTCCCTTCAGATGTGACAATTATCTTGGTATTACTTTGTTAATGAATGCTCTTTAAAATTACCAGGAGCCATATATGGAAGGGGTAAATCCATTCATCAAGAGCAACAAACATCGCATGATCATGTTCTTGGATGAACTTGGGGTAAGTGGTTAAAAAAAATATTTACTGAAGTTACATAGCAGCATTATAAATTAGAATTTTTTACACTTCTTATTAACTAGCTCAAAAGTGCATAAATTTTGAATGCTTATAACTGAATACACTTTTTTATGCACGTTTAGAGACTACAGATTGCTTGTCTCTTATATGGAACTAAACCCATCAAATATCTTCCTAGACTTTATTTGCCTCAGTAAATGTGAGAAGCTCAAAATAGATTTTATAGCCATGAGACTAGAAATTTTTGCCAGCAATACAAACCTTCAAAACATGTTTTAAACCAAAATTTTTTATGTATAATTTGTCACATGGTTTTGACCAGAGATGGAAATTAATTTTTGGTTTAAAAATTCCTAGGTCGAACCTTGGTTAGCATTGCCAAGAGTGTCACTGCATGCATTCTATATATTGTAGTTCACCACTCTGGGTGAAGAACCTCTTCTATTATCCAACCTAAACCTCCCGATACAACTTCAGACCATTCCCTCAGGTCCTGTCACTGGTCACCACAGAGAAGAGATCAGTGCCTGCCCCTCCTCTTCCCCTCATGAGGAAGCAGTAAGTGCAGTCAGGTCTCCCCTCAGTCTCCTCTTCTCCAGGCTGAATAGACCAAGTGACCTCAGCCGCTCCTCATAAGGCTTCCCCTCAAGGCCCTTCGCCATCTTCGGTGCCCTCCTTTGGATGCTCTCTAATAGCTTAATATCTTTCCTGTATTGAGGTACCCAAAACTGCCACAATATTCAAGGTGAGGCTTCCCCAGTTCAGAGCACAGCAGGACAATCCCCTCCCTCGCCCAGCTGGCAATGCTGTGCCTGATGCCCCCCAGGACACAGTTGGCTCCTGGCTGCCAGGGCACTGCTGAGTCATATGCAACTTGTCATCGACCAGGACCCTCAGGTCCCTTTCCATGGCACTGCTTTCCTGCATCTCATTCCCTATTCTTTACCTACACCCATGGCTGCCCCATCCCAGGTGCAGAATCCAGCACTTCCCCTTGTTGAACTTCATATGGTTGGTGATTGCCCAGTGCTCTACAATACACAACAGAAAGATGGACTGGAGATTTAGCTGGAAAGACCAAAATTGGTCTTGGCATCCTAAATCTGTGTTTTGTTCTGTTGAAGAATGTTCCCGAGCTCCCAGACACTACAGAGCACTCTCGGACTGACCTGTCCCGGGATCTGGCAGCCCTGCACGAGATCTGCGTGGCACACTCGGACGAGCTCCGGACGCTCAGCAATGAGCGAGGTGTGATGCAGGTAAGGTAACACCAGGCAGGATTAGCAAACACATCACAGGTACAGGTGGCATGTCCAGAGTAGCTCCTCAATGTTGGGATTCTTTTGTAGTATTTCTGTAGCAGTGTGACTGATAAACATCTTAAAATACTGGCATTTCACCTGGAGGTTATTAGCTGTGAAGGTAAATACTTAGTCCATAGTTTTGTTTCTTCATGCAGCAAAACCAAATTGGGGTATTTTTTTGAGTTTTCAGAGGAAGTTTTAGTTTCTAGCCTTAAACACACAAAATTACTATATCCTGACAGGCTCTCTGGGTCATTGGTTTTCAGATCTTGGTTTTTTTTCAGTTGAGAACTAAATTAGCTTTCTTTTAATACCTCATTTATCCTCATTAGTTTGCCAGTACACTTGTACACCTGTAAACGTGGCAAACACCTGTATGCTTTCTCTGCCTCCCTGTTAAAGCATGAAGCAGCAAGAAGATCCATGGGAGGAGAGGCAGAGTTCATAGTGCTGTTTTAGACTTCTCTTACTAAGGAATCAAGACACTTTTTTTAAAAATTAATAAACTACCTACTCGCAGGTCTGATGGGCTGATGCTGAAAATGCTGCTCAGGGAGGACAGTTCTGTTTCCAGTAGCTAATGTGTGGTTTACTGACTCTCTCTCTACAGCATGTTCTTAAGAAGCTTTTGGCCATTACTGAACTGCTACAACAAAAACAAAATCAGTATTCAGTGTCTAACAACATCAGGTAGCAGCCCTCTACCTGCATTCTGCATGGATCCAGCATGCCTGACATGGCAACTCAGACCAGTACCACTTTCTTCTTGCTCTTGCCAAAAACAGCACACCCTGTCACGTTCCCAGTGATGTGTGAACTATGCAAAAAGAAAACAAAGATCCTGTTGGTGAATAATTGTACCAGCAGCTTTTTTAAGCTATCTGTGCAGGACATTTGCACTTTTTTTTCCACTTGGAAACAGTTTTCACAACCTCTGAGCCTTGGTGTAGAGTTCACCCTCCGCAGTGAAAATGCTGTGACTGTGTCTTGGACTTTGAAAATTATTTTCAGCACCTCTGATTGCCAAAGTTTTTGCTGTCTGGTTGGAAAACAATTATCAACTGACATGAGAAGAAATGTGTCATTCTGACAACTACCTATAACTGGATAACATTTCTTACTGTAATTTCTGAGTGGTGACAATAATGATGACTTTTGACTGTTTCAACCACTTTTAACTTGTATTTACAGTTTTCAGAATCTGACGTTATGGTAGAAACAATCTTTACTGTACACTTTTTATACCATACTGTTTCTCTCGCTGGAATTATGTGGAAAGAGAATATGCAGAATGGGTCTTGTCAGCTTTATTTTTTTGATGTGCCACTGATTCAGTCTGAATAGTTCTTCCATCAAGAACTGTATATCTGGATAAATCACAATGCTTTTGTAAAATGTTTACAACAGTAAATAATTTGAATTCAGTAAATTTATTGATCATTGTATCAGACATGCATGCGTTCATTAAACCATTTTATAAAATAGGTATTGTTTGGTCTTTTGTGTACTGTAAGTCTAGCATAAATATTATTTTTATAAGTGAAAAACAAGTTTTTAAAATAAATCAAGCTGCATATCAACTGTATGGAAACTTGCTAACTTTGGCTGCTGTGGAAATTTTTTAGTGTCTCTACATGCGGTGTACTTTAAAATGTTCACACTGTCACTTTTTCAGCATAAATCCTCAGAACAGCATTACCTTCTCCATATGCCTTAATTTGTACATCACAAGGTGAGAAAGTAGATGTTAAAACATCCTGGGTGGGCTGAGATTTAATAAAAAGAAATTCTTCCCTCTGAGTGGGGTGATGCACGGGCACAGTGCCAGGGAAGCTGGGGATGCCCTATCCCTGGAAGCCTTCAAGGCCAAGCTGGATGGGGCTTGGAGCAGCCTGATCTAGTAGAAGGTGTCCTTGCCCATGGCACTGCCACAGAGTGTTTAAAAAAATGAAAAGTAAAATGTGCTGTTGATTCAGAGGGCATTGCAGCATCACCATGTGCTACTTTTCTAGACAGTGGTCTAATAATAGGGAATAAAAGGATGCTGAGATTCAATTACAAGACTGAGATAATCAAGTAATTTTTATCACATGAATGTTGTTGATACACCATTAGAACACCTACACTGCTGCTTCTCCTGTCTATCAGAACTGCTTTTTCAATTCACTGTCACATGAAATCACAGAGACTTTACTTTTGGGTCTTTGCTGTAGTATTATAGTGGCTCTGCCAGTGGCACAGCTGCCCTGGTGTCCAGCTGGAACTGTTTCCTTGAAATGAGAGTCCAGTGCTACAGCTGAGAGCTCCCAAGTGTCGCAAGTACTGCACTCAGCAAGCACAGGTGATGCTCTCCATAGTGACAACACACCTGTTTGCAAGACCTTGGTACCACAGAAGTCTTTTTTTAGATTGTCCCATAACCCTGTGAAGTCTGTATTAAACTGCATCTGAGAGGAGTAAGTAATTAACAATGTCTTATTCTGCCATACTTAGATCTTAACAGAGTGTATAAAATGGATTATTTTGTGGATTGAGGTGGCTGGGTGTAGGCAGTACAACATGGTAAAAAAAAAATTGTCGAGCACAGAGATACCTGGGTAATCTACCAATTACACACAAAATGCAGCAAAGAAAATGAAACTGGGCAATGCCCAAAGCTGCATTTAAGTCTGTGTATTATAGAACTGTTTATGTTTCAATGGGGTATATGAAAATGAAACAAGTTAGTGGCTGCACTTCACGCACAGCAAACTGTTCCCAAACCACAGATGAGTGCCATATTTCTAAAAGCAAGTATTTCTTGCTAATATTTGACCTTTCATGGATGAGGGTTTAATGGAACCACAACTAATTTTATTTTAGCAAAGTAATAGGGTTTATTGCCAAGATAAACACTAAAAGCATAAAAACTGTATGACACAATATAAGGAACCTGTGGCAGGTAGGGTCACACCTGGCACCAAATTTGTTCCTGGAGGGGTAGGAGTCCCTCTTCCTTTAAGGTAATGCAGAATCCACAAGATCATCATCAGTCCACTCTTCCTAATGGAAGGGAAAAACACAATACCTTGAGCAATGTGTGCATGTAGTGTCCTGTGTGTTCTTTACGGTCAGAATTTAAGAACTCACAGAAGGATTCCACGAACAGAGGAAAGACTAAAAAAATATTATAAATTGTGGCAAGTCAGGCCTATAAACTTAAAGCTAGTTATCCATACCTACTCTTACATGGAGACAGTCATGGAGCAGCCCCTTGCAGCACCAGTCTGAGGTTTAGCTCATGCTTCTTACAGCTATGTAGAGATTTCCACCACAGCTCATACTGCAACCTCTTACCATTATCTTGTTTTATGGCCTTATCACCTTGGAAGCTGAGTCACCAGTGTTTAACCACTACCTTGTCTGTTTCCTCTATCTTTCAGTCTGATGAGCTCTCCATACCAGTTCTGGCCTTCCTATTGATACTAACCTTCAGCTGCAAACAAATCATTTGAAACAATGTGTAGATTAAAACTGACTGTGCACCTGTATACTACAGTCTAACAACAGGATTAATGAAACCTCAAGGTCTGAGCAGTTTGCACCCACTATATGCTTTCAAAAAGTTAAGAACACTTTCTCTTTTAGGTCCTGGCCAGCTCAGATCTGCTCTTGCATGTGACAGTTACTCAGAACTGAAACTACACAAGTACAAACCCTTGGCAGTTCAGATACATCAGTAATGAAAAGTCCTGAGTTTAGGACCTGTTGGAACTGCGCAAGAGCCTATCATGAAATGCTGTAGGCTACGTGAATTTATCCAATCAGGTTACTCCTTTGGAAAAAGAATTATGAATTAATAACAAGCTCCAAAAATCAAAAATGCCTCAAACCATAGAGCATAACTAATTCACATTAAACTGGGGGAGGGAACAAGTGAAATCTCTAGAGCTCATTTAGAGCTGTTCTCTATGTGTCAGAAAGTGAAAAGTTTTGCCAGTACCTGTTTTATGGAGTTGCCTGTTTCAATATGCTTTTTAAGACTGGCATCTGGAGTAAACACTAGTCAAAGGTTTTATGGCATAGTTATAAAATATGTTCAAGGTTCCACATTTACTTAGAACATACCTTCAATGCTGGTTTTATTATAATCTTGTTTAAATAATTTTTTAGATTCTAGTTTGACACTGTAGCATCAACCTACTATGATAATCTATAATAGCAAGACTCCTTGAATTATAAAAAGACACAAATTTTGCATTTTATCCTCAGATTTTGGCAGACAACCCTCTTCAGCCTTTAGCACATTTTTCTAAATGCCATACTCAAAGACTGTCAGGATGCAGTGTCTTTAGTAACAAGAGAAGTCCAGTTAAACACGGTTCTTCACCCCTTCCAGTACGGACTCTCTACAATTTCCAGTCCATGGTTACAAACAAAAGCTCTGGAAGGTGGTCAGATCAGATGTGAAGGACTGCCTTAATTCTGTTTTCATTTGTTGAGTCACACTCATCAGTTTATCTCCACCTTTTTTACACTTGGTCTTATAACCCGAAGTAGTAGCTACCAATCTGTAATTCATGCAAGCCTTGCTGGCAAAGTGGCTGATGTAGAAATTTAGTCCAGAATCTGGCTTCTGCTTTGAGCAAGAAGCCAAATAAAGTAAATAAAAACTTTCAGAGCACAAGAAACAGCAGAAAGGATGGCCTGCGTGTTCTTCCCCCTCCCCACAAAAGACTGAGATAATATAAGAACACTTGCAAGCACAGGCTAGTAGGAAATCTGGCTCATTTGAAAAAAAAAAAAGTTGAAAAAGATTTGGTTTGAGCAACAAGCAAAAGAGTAGTACAGATGCATAAGTTTATCTCAGTAGCTGTGTCATTTTTATCTTGGCAGTTCAGAGAGGAAAAACAAGTACCTGTACAAAAGGTTTACTGACCTCATCCATTTTGGATTTCTTTGCAACATATTCATCATTTTCATAACCTTTCCTCTTCTTCCTAACCCAGATGAGAAGTGAAATGTTTAGATATTTTTATAAGTTAGACTCTTTCTATTTGACCACAAGATTAGATTATGGGCACACTTGTCACATAAAAAACTACAAAAGCCTCAACAAGAAGCTTGCTCGAAGTCCACTGTCTACTGAAGTGAAAAGGGCAGAAAAGAAAAATCAGCAAGTTCTTTGCCCTCCACATAATTCTTAAGAAAACATTAACCCTTTACACAATTCGTTTTAATCACATGGTTTTAAAGGCCTTAGTTCTCATTGCATACAACATCAAGTCACCAGATCTTAGAAGCCACCCAGGATTCTAGTTTTTTTTAATCAGCTTGCAGTGCAAATCAGCACAAAAGAAGGTATTTATGTATTTCTGAAAGCACTATGTTGAGTCTTGGTTCTCAGCTCCCAGTAGACACTCACACAGCAAGCATGTGAACGTTGTGTGCACATTTAGAGGTTTTCATTTTCAATCACTCATATAGATAAAAAATTCATGTTCTTATACCAATAAAATCAGCAGAATTTTAACACAAAGATCTACTTACGGGTTTGTATTAAGTGCAAGCTCAAAGGTATGACACTTCTCTAATTTCTGTTTTAGAGCAGCAACCTCTTCAGCCCTCGGCAGTTCATATTTCTTGATGAGATTTTTCATGCCTACAATGGCAACAACGCAGCTCTAAGCACATAAGTAATTTCTGCTCTGCCTTCTTGTGTTGGGTCTGCATAGCCAGGTGTGTTGGTAGTGGGGGGGCTACAGGGGTGGCTTCTGTGAGAAGATGCTGGAAGCTTCCCCTGTGTCCAACAGAGCCAGTGCCAGCCAGCTCCAGGAAGTACCTACAACTGGCCAAGGCTGAGCCCATCAGCAATGGGCTAACAGATTTAAGGGGGGGGTGAAAACCCACGTGTGCAACAGTAAGTGCTGCTGGAAAGAGGAATGAGAATATGTGAGAAGAACAGCCCTGCAGGCAGCAGGGTCAGTGAGGAAGGAGGGGGAGGAGGTGCTCCAGGCACCAAAAGGGATTACCCTGCTGATGAAGCTCCTGATGAAGCCTACGGTGAGACAGCTGTGCCCCTGCAGCTCATGAAAGTCAACAGTATGGAGATCCACCTGCAGCCTGTGGAGGAGTCCACTCTGGAGCAGGTGGATGTGCCTGAAGGAGGCTGTGATCCTCTAGAAATATCATACTACAGCAGGCTTCTGGCAGGGACCTGCAGACCCATGGATAGAGGAGGTTTGCTGGCAGGACTTGGGACCCCATGGGGTAGCCACACTGGAGCAGTGCATTTCCAAAGGACTGCACCCCATGGAATGGTCCCATGCTGGAGCAATTCATGAAGAACTGCAGCACGTGGGAAGGACCAACGTTAGATAAGTTCATGAATGATTGTCTCCTACAGAGGGACACCACACCAGAGCAAGGGAAGAGTGTAAGGAGTCCTCTCCCTGAGGAGGAAGGAGTGGCAGAAACAAGCTGACTACAGTCCTCCTGTGCTGGAGGGAGAGAATTCAGGAGTGAAGCCTAGCCCAGGAAAAAGGGAGTGGCAGGAGAAAGGTCTTTGAAAATCTGGGTTTCATTTCTCATTATCCTGCTCTGATTTGACTGGCAGTTAATTAAACTAATGTCCCCCAGCTGTGTCTGTTTTGCGCACAACTGTGACTGGTCAGTGACCTCTCCCTGCCCTTATCTCAGCACCCAAGCTTTTTATTATATTTTTTCTCCCCTGCCCAGCTACGGAGGTCACTGATAGAGTCGCTTTGGTAGGTACCTGGTGTCCAGCTGGGGTCAGCCCATGACAAGCTTATCAGCAGCATGGCTGCTGCTACTGCTTACCCCTCATAGCCAGGCTTGAGCCAACACTTTTTCCTTTCTTCCCTCATTATAACTCCACTGAAACAAGTCACTAGCATCACTTCACTCTGGATTTCCTCAAGGTAAACTCTAATAATATAGAGTTCATGTTACTGTGCTAACAAGCTTCAAAATACACAGGGTTTTTTTGCATTCAGCATTGTACCTCTGTCTTAAAAAAAGACTGGTTTCTGTCTGGTTAATAATGCAAGTAACATTTACAGCTACCTTTCAAGAAACAAGAATTTTTTCTCTATGACCAGCTTTTTGTAAAAGTCATTTACAAATGCTTCATAAATTCCCTTCCAACCATCATATGTTTACGGAAGAGCTGCCTTTGGGCTAAAGCTCCCTTCCAGAATAATGGAAGAGACGACTAAGTGATCCAAGTGTTCCCTTTGATCTCAGCAATGGAAACCTGAAGACTGGATTTGTTAGAAGAGAAAGGGAAGGGCACCTTAAGTTCTGTAAATTCAATTTAAATTGAATTTGTAGACCCTGATGACTTGTATGGTGCATTCACTACTTAAGTCAGCGTTGCCAAAGACTGAAGCTTCAATGCTACCACTCTCATTTTAAATGCATGCATTAGCCTAAAGCATCAAATAACTGATTACTTACGGGAATTTCATATCCCAGCCTTTTCACTTAATTAAAAAAGGTAATAATCAGCAGACTATATTCCCTATTAGCTAAACTATGGTAGTATTCTTGATATTTGTAAAATATATACATATACACACACACACACACATATTTCTCTCACACTAGTGAAGCTAAGCATCTTTTGAAATATGTTGATAGCTGCAAAACAGAAGTCCAGTAGAAATCCTGGCATATCACTTCACATCAATCATTCAGCTTACAAAAGGTACCCTCTGGTGGTAGTAGTAGTAATGTGCAGGCTTTGCCTGAAGCCACAATTTTTAAGACACAGTGACTTGAAAAGTCATTTAATCCTGTCTTACAAAAAACATTATCTAGTTCCCAAAATATATTTCTAACTTTTAAGTCAGCTGCTAGTCTGAAAGCATCAGGCAGGCCACTTCTCTTTTCATTTATTTCATTTTCATTTGCTTAATTTGTTCATTGTGTCTCAGTGTTTCTCCCCTTCCATCCACATGATCCATCCACACTGCCCATGTTTTACTTACCTTATGCATGCCCTGAGGTGAAGAAAACCACTTGAAGCACAGACCCTTTTGTCTAAAGCTTTTGTTATTTGGAAAAACTTGGTTTTTCCTTCTTTAGATACTCTTTATCATACTTTTCCAATGTTTACTTACATTTCATGTCATCTAGTAGTCTGGATAAGGTTGATCTGTTCTCTTTCAGCATAAGACTTTCTGATAAATAGCTTCAAAGAGACACAGAAGAATAAATTTTTAAAGTGCATAATTATTCGTGGCAGTTACTATCTGTTAATAAAAAGTGTATTATTTATTATTTATACCTGCTAGAGGTTTATGATTAGACTAAGTAAGAACACTTCGGTTATGTAAGTGCTTTAAAGTGATAAAAAAGCAAATCTGTCATTATAAGAACTTGACAAAAGTATTCCCCAGCCATGTGAGAAACTGAAGTTCCAACACTGCAGAATTCAACATTTCTAAATAACCCTCACAGAGCTAAGACAAATTAGGTATAAGATTCTATGGTAACATCACACTGTTGCAGAGTATGACTATGGGACAAGCCAAAACTACAGAAGAGTGTTTTTCAGACTGACCAACAGACAACAGAGCTTGCAAGACAGGCCTGCTTCTTTTGGCAGCTAAAAGCCATTCCTAAATGCTGTCTTGTAAGAGCCTGTGGGTTCCTTCTTCTTCCTACTGAGATTCAAACTTCCTTTCAGTAAGAACACTAATACATGCACATACTGCCTGGGTAAAACCCCAACAGACATGAGCAAAACTCCTCATCAAGACCCACAACAACCAAGTAGTTTTATCCCTTCCATTGTGGGAACGACAGCTCCAGTGTTCTCTCCCACCTCTGCAGGTGCACCTGCTGACAGGTCCACAGACCCAGCATTTGCTTCTCTCATATCCAGCAGCAAAAACTCAAGTAAAATAATAAATAACAAGGTTGTAACGACTGCATAGTGCAGACAGGTCACTAAGACTTGAGTTCTTCCTGAACATGCAAACGAAGTTCAGATACCTCATTTCCCATGCTATCTACAAATTATTTTAGTACTTTTTGCAAACACGCTTTTCTTAATTTTTGCACTAGCAGTACAGAATTACAGATCTAGGAAGGAGATCAAGTTTCAAGTTAAAGTAAGCACCTGAATGCTTTTATAAAATTTTGAAAGGACAGTGAACCCTGTAGATAATACTCTTTCTTTTTGAACAAGAGAGATCTGAGATTCATTTAGAGGAGGTTTATTTAAAAGTAACTAGTTTATTTAAAAAGAACTGTTTGCATTTTGCCTGCAGGTGTTACACTCCAGATGCAAAATGCTCACAGGCATGTGATTTTAACATGCCAGGTACAGCTCCTTTCAGGAACCACCTGAGCTGTTTTTCTGAAGAAAAGCATATGTTTTGTCTTTAAGAGAACCAAACCAAACAAACTACACATTTCAGCAAAAGTACGGAAGTGTTTGATAATGCCTGTGCAAACACCAGTGGCTAGGGCACAGAATGGAAAGCGGGGACTGATTTAAAACAGCACCTTAGCATTAGTTTGTTTCCATGGAAAATGAACAGTTGTACCAGCCAAATATAGCACTTAAGTTTCAGCATAGTAGCTGTCAGTTCAGTGTCATTTCAGTTGACTCTGGAACTAAAAATCTTACTTTTTCTTTAAGTGGTTCTTAAGAAACTCAGTTGCTACTGTATTTCCACTTTCTTCATCATAATCTTTAAGATGAGTCTGAAAATCCTATACTGTTCTAACTGAGGCAAAGTTGTCAGGTTTCTTTTTTTTTTGTTCTTCTAAAGGCATATAATAACCAGACACCAACTAACCACATTTATCACCTACTTTTTGAAAGTGAAACCAACAGTACCACTACAATTCTGAAACATACCTAAAGAACATAACAGTGCTAACAATCAGTAAATACACAATTCTACTAGTTAAGAATGCCTGGAGCAAAATAATTTTATACAGGAACCAAATAAACTGTTTAAATCATACCTCTACAAAGAAAACATTACCTTTCCATATTAATTCCTGCTCTTGAACCACTAGATAATACGGCAGTGAGAGCTATCAGTGAGGGAGTAAAGAGCAGATATGCATCTGTCAGAGCCACTCGACTGAGGAAGTCATCAGCTGTTTTCCTCAAAACTTCAGGATTTTCCAGCACTGGGTATCGAGTCTAAAAAGTAATCATTTAGGAAAGTAAGTGGCTGCTCCTCCTTCTTGTTTGTGAGCTCAGAACACAAAAAACAACAACATTTTACAAAGCTAAAATGTAGCAGGCCTTCCTCTTTTTCCAAAAATAGCCTAAAAAGCTTAAAGATCAAAAATAAACAACCATCTTTAAGGTATTTGTTTATCACTTTAGTAATTAGATCTTTTAAGATCACAGGCACAAAAGGAAATAAAGTTTTCTAACATGACACATGACAGACTTGTATTACTTTACTACACAGAGCATGAAGCACATCAAACAGTTTTTTATTACCTTCAAATCGATTAGAAATCCCTCAAATGGCCGGTATGGATTGTGGACGATGAGATGGAAGTTCAGTTGCTGAATAAGCAGCAGTTCATATTCCAGTATTTGTTCAAGAGCTTTTTCCTGTCCAAGAGGGCTTTCTCGAAGGTTACCAACGAACTGTGCACTGGATACATTAAATTCATCTACTTTACAGGCCAAAAATGCACACGTTAGCCTTGAGGAGGGGAAAAAAAACAAAAAGCCAACAACTGACTTAGGGAGTATCGATTCTTTTATCAAGAGTTCTGTTCACAAAATTTGCATCTTCAAAACACCATGTTCTGAAGACAATAAATTTTTCCAAATGGAAAGTGAAACAGACCATACTTTGTCTTAATGCCTATTTAAGCTCTCAGATTTCCTTTCTCCTTTTTTTCAGGTCTTTACACATATAAAAGATTATACCTCCAATGTTCCACTTGGCAGAATAAGTCTAGAAGTGTTGATAACTCACATTATTATCCGAGGATGATACTCCATCACTGAGTTATTGAGGTAAAAGCGTTTAAAATACATGCAAGCTGTTCCCTAAATTGAAAAAAATGGGGAGGGAAGAAACAAAGATGGATAAAGAAAAAATAAATACATTAGAAAAAAGTCACAGATCAGGCAAGTTTGAATATATACTACAGGCATACAGGATACACTAAGGCATTAAGACACACACAAAGCCACATCATTAAATATTTCATTTATGCCGGCAATATGACAGCCTTACAAAATCTTCTCTTTTATTTTTAGACATATTTTGCAAGACAATGCTCAAAAACCCTACAGTATCTTCATGAGAAAAATCTGGTATTCAAATGAAATTTAAAAACCAAAGACTGAAAAAATATTACACCAGAAGTTGCAAGCAATCCTAACCATTTGAATTTTTAGATCAGTAATTTCTGCAACATATTTATCAACATGAAAGCAGGTGTTTTCCAAAATCACTGCTTGAGGAGACTCTACAGGGGCCACCTCTCAAATATAAGTCTGGCTTCACAGAATGTGCCATGGCAGCTACTGCCACCTTTCAAAGGATCCTCAAGGGGGGCACTCTTCACCACACCTGCCAGAAGAAGGGAGGACTAACAGGGCACAAATACAAGCTATTCATCTTAATGGCTCGGCTTCAGCTGTAGGTCCCCACGCTCCCTTCTGAAACGCTCGCCTACATTCAAGGCAAGTCAGTTCAACGTAATTTTCTTTCTCCTTTGTAGGTTAGTTAACTGCCAGTACAAACGCTGATCCAGCTTATTCTGTGGTCAGACAAGCAATAGTGCTTGAGAAACAAGCGCTTGAGAACGACAGTCCAAACGCAGGACTGCCTTCTTTAGCTTCTCTGAGACTGCTTTACTGTATCATCGTCGTTTTATTGTAACATCAATCGTTACCATCGACCACCGACCATTACTTTGTTTCTACCCTTTGCTAAAGAGTACAAACCACAACAGTTCAGTCAAACAAAGCAGTCCAGTCACCCACGCAAGTGTAAGAGCCACAAGCAGAAGATCACGTTGAGAACAACTCGTTTTGAAATGGCTGCACGGCTCAGAAAACAAACAAAAAATATAAGAAGCGGGCACAGACTGCAATGCTGAAAGAGAGAAATGAGCTCTAAAGACATCCGCGGTTTCAAGAACAAGCCAAGCAAACAGCAGCAGGCGAAAGAAGGAGGGGGCCGAGGTGGACTGGTCCCAGCGCCGCTCACTCACCACCACAGACCGCGGCATCGCGGGCTTGAACACGGCGCAGAAGTCCAACAGCCGCTTCTCATAGTACTTGCATATCGCCAGCTCTTCGTGCGGCTCCAGGAGCACCAAGTCGCCCTGCGGCACCTGGGGAGAGGCAGAGCGGCGCCTCACTCGGGCTGCCCCGCCCGCTCAGCTCCCGCCCCGCGGCCCTGCTCCTCTGCCCCGCGCCCGCGTTCCCTGCCCGCCCCGCGGGCCCCGCGCACCTTCCCGGTGGCTGCAGCCCTGCCCCGGGCCCGGCGGTTCGCCTCGGCCCGGCGCCGAGACAGCTCCTCCTCACCGCAGAAGGTCCAGTGCCGGCGCTGGGTGCTGCTGTGGAACATGGCTGCATAACATGGCTACGCCCGCGCAGGGCTCGCCGGGAGTCGCCTCAGCGCCCGCCAAGGGAGGCGGGACGGGGAGAGTTCCTGCGGGAATGATAAGAACTGTGGCAAAAAATCCAAACCAAATCAAAACAAAAACAAAATTAAAACAAACAAAAAAAACCCCGTCAACGTGATAAACTTCTGCGGAATAGCAGCTCTGTTTTTCTTTCAGTTTTAGCCGTGTAAACTTGCTCCCTTAGATTCCTTCACTAGTCATTTACTCTCTCCCAAAGAACCATTGTGTATAAGATCTAATTATGATTGAAGGAAGCAGCATTTCATAGCCTCTTCTTTGTGCTTCAGCCAACAAATTTTAGATATTACTGCGCTTGTACTTGAAGTGTGTGAAAAAAGTGTGTAGAGCACATGTGGACTGTCACGGGATTTGTAGTTAAAATGGTTCCTGGTGGGCGGACATGTAAAAGGTTCTTTTCTTAAACTACACAGAAAATAATTTTATTGCCTGTGTAGTCTAAATCTATCATTCCTTTGCCTTAAATTACAGGAACTTAACATATCCAGCTTGAAGTCAGACCAAACTTCAGTTTCAAGAACCACAGATACAAAAATACCAAAATGAGTTTGTTGTCCATCTAACACTAACAGTTCCATCACAAATTAGAAATGATAAAACCCCACATGTTAGAATAATGAGTGACAATGTGTCACTTCACATCATCAGTCTTAGGGTACAATGTGTAAGAATAAGAATGACAATTCCTGAAAAGGACAAGAGCAGTATACGAGATAAAGCAGGATTTTTTTCTTTTTAAGTCTCCATTGATTTTATACCTTTCACTATTCAGAATCTGTATTTCAAAGGCTTGCGAGTTTAAGTTTTATGGATACCAACCAACTATTGACTTCACTGATTTTAGTCCTACATTAACTTTGGCTGGTATCATGCTGTCAGAGACTGAAATGGTTAATGATTTATGCATTCCAGGAGTTTGCAGGCTTTTGACTTTTGCCTTACACCTCTGATGGGCAATTGGGCCCATCCCCCCCTCTGCCAATCTTGAAAGGCAGGAACCAGGCCAGACTCAGAAGCTCTACGCAGGCCCAGAGAGAGGTTGGAGGCTCGAGACATGGCCCATGACACTGACCATGGATATAATAACTCATAACTTCTTCGAGTGTGGGGGCTTCCCTCCTTCACCCCCAGCAGATCAAGGCCACCACTTCAGCTGACGGACATGGAAGCGGCAACTACCAAGTGTCATCGCTGGACCCCGTGGGCGGTGACTATATGCATCTTTCCACTCTCATATTTTCTTTCCCTTACTCTCCCTTATCCTTACCCTGTCTTTCCTTTCTCTCCCTTATGCATTTTCCCCCCCGAAGTTATCCCTTTGCCATATTGCTATAAATGATATAGATGACAACACCCAAAATGCTAACATACCTGTTGAAACAAAATTGTTAAAATGAACCCTATCTATATATGTCTAAAATAAACCTTACCAATATATGTTTTCAGACACCGATTATTTAGTGTCGTTTCACTTTAATCCACCCCAAGGGAATTATTGATAAAAACCTGAGTTACCTCCCCTCCCCTTTTCCTGGGGCGGGTCATAACACATGCACTATTAGTGATTCCAAAATTCAATCTGAAAATGGAGAAAGGCAGATTTAGATAACACGTTTGGAAATGTAATCATAAAATGCTTTTGGCAGACTTTGGCAAGTCTGTGACCCAGTTATGTGCAGAACCAAGAATTTACTGTTTCTAGTGTTTCTATTGTTTTTCTCACAATAGCACTTCTCATCTCTTTACCCACAACACAATTTCAATATATTATCTCATAACCAAAGCAGTTAATAAAAAGTACAAATACTCAGTGTGATTTTTGTGCAAATAACAAAATCTACAAAGAATATAGAATAGAATATCATGTCATGGCTAGGCTTCGCGAACGAAGATTTGGGAAGGACTCTACCCACGTTTCTTGCAAGCGCGTTGGTGGCTAAAAAGGCCAGTACGAGATAGACACGTCCGGTTGCAAAAGACACAGCAGAAAGACTCCTTAGATGGTATATTCTGCAAGGCTCGATTCTTTCTGCGTTGTCTTTTCTCCTCAAGAGTGATCCTGCGTGCTTTCTCAAAAGCATCAGCAGCGTTATAAATGGTCTGTCTCCAGGCCTCCCGATTAGAGGCCAGAGTAGACCAGTTATGGTGATCAATATGCCCGAGGCTGAGTTGTTGCTTCAGGGAGTCCTTGTATCTTTTCTTCGGAGCTCCTCTCTTGCGACAGCCAGTGGCAAGTTCACCATAGAGCAGGATCTTAGGGAGGCGGTGGTCCTTCATCCTGGAGACGTGCCCTGCCCAGCGCAGTTGCGTTCTCAGTAGCATGACCTCAATACTTGTGATTGCTGCCTGTTCAAGAACAGATGTATTGGTCACGTAGTCTGACCAGTGGATGTTTAGGATTGTGCGGAGGCAGCGTTGATGGAAGCGTTCTAGGAGACGCAGGTGGTGGCGGTAGATGACCCATGATTCGGAACCATATAGAAGAGTAGACAGCACTATGGCTCTGTAAACACTGATCTTGGTACTTTTCTTCAAGTGTTTATTACGCCAGACTCTTTTATGGAGCTTTCCAAAGGCACTATATGCCTTTGCTAACCTGTTGTCTATCTCCCCGTCGATCTTACCATCTGAGGAGATGAGGCTGCCTAAGTAATTAAACTGTTGGACTGATTTGAGTTCTGACTGGCCGATGGTGATGTGGGGATGATGGAGGACTTCCTGAGGTGCAGGTTGATGGAGAACTTCAGTCTTCTTTAAGCTGACTTCCAGCCCAAAGAGCTCAGCAGCCTCTGCGAAGCAGGATGTTAAACGCTGCAGAGCTGCTTCTGTGTGGGCAACAAGGGCGGCGTCATCAGCATAAAGCAGCTCCCGGACAAGATGGTTTAGGGTCTTGGTGTGGGCCTTCAGTCGCCTTAGGTTGAATAGGCTTCCATCAGTACGATATCGAATGTAAATACCGTCCTGATCATCGAGGTCTGCCGTGGCCCTTTGGAGCATCATGCTGAAAAAGACTGTGAATAAGGTAGGAGCGAGAACGCAGCCTTGTTTCACGCCATTCTTTATTAGAAAGGGCTCAGAAAGTGTGTTGCCATATCTGACTTGGCCGTGCTGATCCTCATGAAGTGAGATGATCATTTTAAGGAACTTGGGGGGACAACCTAAACGTTCCAAAATCTGCCAAAGACCTTTTCTGCTCACAGTATCGAAAGCCTTGGTGAGGTCGACAAAGGTTACATAGAGACCTTTGTTCTGTTCCCTACACTTCTCTTGCAGTTGTCTGAGAACAAATATCATGTCTGTGGTGCTCCTGTTGGCTCTGAAGCCACACTGACTTTCAGGTAGAATTTCTTCTGCTATAGCGGGTATTAGTCTGTTCAGGAGTATTCTTGCCAAGATTTTGCCAGCAATGGAGAGCAGAGTAATACCACGGTAATTTGAGCAGTCTGATTTAGTACCTTTCTTCTTATACAAGGTGATGATGACTGCATCACGAAGGTCTGAAGGTAGTTCGCCTAGTTCCCAACAGCGCACCACAAGCTCATGAAATTTAGCATGGAGTGCAAGGCCCCCATGTTTCCAGACTTCGGGTGGAATTCCATCAACCCCAGCTGCCTTGCCGACTTTCACCTGCTGTTATGGCCTTAAGGGTTTCTCCTAAAGTGGGGGCAGTATCCAATTCGAATTTCACCGGTTGTTGTGTGATGGACTGAATTGCTGAGTCTTGGACTACACGGTTGGTGCTGAAAAGAGTCTGAAAGTGTTCAGACCATCTATTCAGAATGGAGGTTTTATCTGTCAGAAGTGTTTGACCATCTGCACTGAGTAGTGGGCTTTGGACTTGGTACGTAGGCCCGTATGCTGTTTTCAGGGCCTCATAGAATCCTTTGTGATCCCCTGTATCTGCACATAGTTGAGTTTTTGCAGCTAGATCGGTCCACCACTTGTTCTGGATGTCGCGGAGTTTCTGCTGAAGCTTGCTGCATGCAAGACGAAAGGCTATTTTTCTTGCGTGACAGGATGGCAGTGCAAGGTATGCTTGGTGGGCAGTTCTCTTATTCCTCAACAAGTCCTGGATTTCTTGATTGTTTTCATCAAACCAGTCCTTGTTCTTCTTGAGGGAGAACCCTAAGGATTCTTCAGAGGATTGCAGGATGCAGCTTTTAATATGATACCAAATTGTTTCAGGAGAGGAATCTGCAGGATTTGTGGGATGGTTTTCGAGCCTGGTTTGAAGATTTGTCTGGAATCTTTCTCTTACTGTGGCTGATTGGAGATCGTTAACTTGAAGTCTTCTCCTTGGGATACTGCCCCTTTTGCGTTTGAATTTGAGAATGAAGTTGAGTTTACAGCGCACAAGCCGATGGTCTGTTTGGCATTCTGCGCTGGGCATCACGCGGGTATGGAGGACATCGCGGACATCTCTCCGACGCACCAAGACATAATCAATGAGGTGCCAATGCTTAGACCTGGGGTGCATCCAGGTTGTCTTCAGACTATTTTTCTGCTGAAAGATAGTGTTAGTTATGGTAAGCTGTTGCTCTGCACAGAATTCTAGCAGAAGTCGACCATTATCATTGCAGTTTCCGACACCATGCTTGCCTAGTATTCCTTTCCAAGCCTCAAAATTCTTACCTACTCTGGCATTGAAATCACCAAGGATAATGATCTTATCATCTGCAGGCACCTTTTGTGTAAGGCAGCGCAGGTCAGTGTAAAATTTATCTTTTTCAGCAGGGTCAGCTTGGAGAGTTGGGGCATATATACTAAAGATGACAACGTGTTGCTTGTTGTTTAGTGGAAGGCGTAGGGAGATAATGCGGTCAGAGTGACCTGTCGGCAGATTTTTGAGTTTAGGGACAATAGAGTTTTTGATCATGAAACCGACACCTGAGAGATGTTTTTCGGTTCTGGGCTTACCTGACCAAAAGAGTGTGTAACC